TCCCTCAGGCGATGGACCCCGACGAGGCGTCGCGCCACATGAAGCGCTGCGTCGACTCGGGTCTGTGGAACCCGACGGGCGGCGAGGGCTCGCCGGACGACGACGAGGCGGAGGCCGAGGGGCGCGCAAAGCCCTCTGAGGTGGACTCGTCGCCCAGCGCCGAAGTGGATGACTGAGCAGCCGCCTATGCCGGCGAAGGATGAGTACGCATGCACGCGCGGCGACTCGATGACGTGACGCGATTCGCTCCCTCTCGGCGAGCGCGAGTGACGTCACCGCTGCTACATCACACAGTGGGTAAAGAGCGCGCGGATTCGCGGAGACTCCGCTGGCCTCCAGAGACTCGGCTCGAGTGCCCCTCTACCTTGTGATACGATAGCGTAGGCGCACGTGGGGGAGTGCGGAGTTTACGTGTGGCGTGCCGGATGCGCGGATAATGTATGTAGAATGGAGAGGGCAACGAATTTCGACGTTTTCCTTTGCGTCACCGTCCAAGAGACCAAGTGTGGGGTCGGCATGTTGTGCGAGTATATGGGACACGATGTCTCAAATATGAGGGGTTTTGACTCCTACCGGCTCCTGACGCTATCCCTGGCAGCTCTAATGACCAGGATCAGTAGTGCTATGATAGAGGGTGCCCATACTAGCGAAGGAGCTGCCACACTCGCCCGGACCGTCCCCTTCTGGGGCCGGTTCCGCAGCCCGCGAGAGCCGACAGCGGGGCCGTGCCGCGGGTGCCTACTGCCGAGTGCCAAAAACACTGCGCCGTCCCGCCATCACCTACAGGCTGTCTTGTGTGATGGTTGGGATGTCCAAACGCCACCATCTTGGCTCTTGCGACCTCAAACCCGCGAGCTGTATGGGTGGTCCTGACGTCGACAGACGCCCGATGACCACGGTGAAGCTGAGCCGGAACGAGTCGACAAGTCTCGTCTGAGCCCGTGGCGGTCGCCGGCTGAGTCGCTGTGCACGGGCCGGCACCTCAGGCGTCACCTCCGCAGCCTCAGGTCTCACACTCCATCACCTCCGACGGGACGCCTACGATGGCACGCTCGGCGGCGACTTTGTGGCAGCCCCAC